AGAATTGGAATAATTCATAACTAAAACTGGAAAGAATCTCAGAGGCAAGAAATTTCTGATCCTATCATTTAGCAAATGAAAGCTCTTTGACTCAAAAAGTCAAGTAATTAACTTCAAGTCACATGATTAATGAAAAATAAGCTTACTTTTTAAAAAATTATATTTAAGTAGGCTACACGCCCAATGCGGGGCTTCAATTTATGACCCCGAGATTAAGAGTTTTATGCTCTATAAACTGAGCCAGCCAAGTGCCCCTAAGCTCACTTTTAACTAAAGCTAAAAACTCACTTTATATATTGCAGTCAATATATAAAATTATGAAGAACACTGTCCAAGAAACTGGTAGGCATACCACACATCTTCATGACAATTCCACTAAGTGTAAATGATACAGGAAGTAGAAAAAAAAGATACAGGAAGTAGAATTTATTGCCTCAAAGCCAAGGCTGGACTGACTGCCGCTGTGTGTTTCTTTCTTTCTTTCTTTCTCTCTCTCTTTTTTTTTATGTATTCATTCTCGAGACAGACGGAGAGAGAGAGCAAGAGAGAAAGCAGGAGCAGGGGGAGGAGCAGAAGGAGAGAGACAAGCAGCCTCCACGGTGAACACCGAGCCCCATGCGGGGCTTGATTCCAGGGCCGTGAGATCATAACCTGAACCCAAACCAAGAGCCCAGCGCTTAACTGACTGAGCCACCTGGGCGCCCCTGCTGGGTTTCTAAATGCAGCTGTGAAACCCAATGTCATTTGGTTCTGACAGCCTTATTAATTATCTTTCTCTTTTTTCAGCTTTACAGTAGACTAGATCAGCTAATGGGCTTCCTGCAAATAGTCCCCGAATTTATGATACGAATCTGTAGACAAGGCCTGTAAGTATTAGAAATTCTCTGTCAATCTTGCTATGACAAACTTGTTTGTAATTCTTGAGAGCAGAGTATGGAGAAATACCTTTTTGAATTGGATCTATTCTTATGGGGTGGCAAGATGAGACTGCAGTGGCTTCACAGTTTTATTCTCATTTTATGGTGCAGATACTTAAAGTATTTTGTATTAAATTTGCATTCTGAGGCTTCTTAACAGAAGCAACAAGGTGCAACCAATTACCCATTGATATTATTCAAAACAAAAGAAAAATAATGTTTTGGTTCAGGATCCAATGTAATCTGGGATTTTGTAACTGCATGCAGTTGCCATTTTGCTTGATTTTTCTATCTTGAATTCAATTCCTCAGGTTTTCTTTGTGACTTTGACATTTTTGAAGCATCAGGCTTGTTACTTTGTAGAATGTCCTTCAGTTTGAATTTGTCTGATGGTCCCTCGTGCTTAGACTCAGGTCATGCATTTGGAGCAGGAGTAACACAGAAGTGGGGCACCTGGGGGGCTCAGTTGGTTAAGTGTCGGACTCTTGGTTTTGGCTCAGGTCATGATCTCAGGTCATGAGATCAAGCCCTGCATTGGGCTCTGTGCTCAGCACAAGTCTACTTGAGATTCTCTCCCTCTGCCCCTCCCTGCCACTCACGCGTGTGTGTGCGTGCTCTTTCTCTCTCAAATAAAATAAATAAATAAAATCTTAAAAAAAGGGGGTAATACAGAAGCAACACTGTTCTCAGTGCATCATGTCCTACATATATTGATGTGTCCCAGTAATCATGATGTTAGCTGCAGCTACTTGTGTTAAAGCAATGTCTATATGGTTTCTCCACTGTAAAGTTACTATGTTTTTTTCTTTGTAAGTAAAAAGCAATTTGTGGGGAGATATTTTGAGATTATATCTTTTTTTTCTTTTTTAGCGAGGGGCAGGAGGGGTAGAGGGAGAGGGAGAATCCTAAGCCAGCTCCATGCCCAATGCCAGCCTTGAGATCATGACCTGAGCTGAAATCAAGAGTTGGATGCCCAACTGAGTCACCCAGTGTCCCTTGAGATTATATATTGTTTCTCATCAAACTTTTACTTAGCCAATCATCCACTGATGATTCTTGACTGAACCAATAGTTACTGTGATGGTCACCAAATGGTGGCATAAAGATATTTTTTAGTTTGGATTTTTTTAAAATATGTTTTGTTTACATGTTTATAAAATGTATCTGATGCCAGAGAAAATCAAACAGCTCAAATCAGTGACCCAGAGAGGTTGTGAAATGGCAACGACAAGTAATTTGCAAAATTAACAAAGACTAATTAAAAGTCAGAATGAACAAGTCTCTCACTGCTTAACCCTGTCTTTTGATCAGTAACTATAAGAGGTGAAAGAAAGCTTGAGAAACACTTTAAATTTTATTTGTCACACATGCCTTGGGAGATAAATAAAAACGGTCCAACACTTAATGTAAACTTGAAAAAGGATGTTCATGGGCTTAATTGGAGCTTACTCTCACATCAAGAACTTATCACTGGGATGAAATTAACTCTACTAATGAATTCGAGCCCTACAAGACTGCTTCCATATGCCTTGCTTTCATATTTCTCCAAAGAAATTTGAGTGTTTCCTTATTAATAACTTAAACAAAATTAATTATTAAATATTTAAAACATACAGGAAATAATATTACAACCATTTACTCACCACTCTGAATTTAAATATTTACATTTTATCATCTTTGCTTAAGAATGTTTTTTCTCTAGGGGCACCTGGATGGCTCAGTTGGTTAAGTGTCTGTCTTTGGCTAAGGTCATGATCTCAGGGTCCTGAGATCGAGTTCTGCATTGCTCCGCAGGGAGTCTGCTTCTCCCTCTCCCTCTGTCACTCCCCTAGCTCGTGCTTGCTCTCTCTCTCTCTCAAATGAATAAATAAAATCTTCAAAATAAGAATGTTTTTTCTAAATAAAAAAATATATTATATATACTTATCTAACATTGTTTTATGCATGTCAAATGTATCCTATTACCATTTAATTTCATTTTTACTTAGTATAATATTTTTGAAATTTATCCACCTTGATACATGTAGATATGATCTACTCATTTTAACTACTTATGGAAATCCATTGTATGAATAATCACGTTGTTTATTCATTTCCCAGCTGATAGAGAACTAGACTGTTTTTATGTTTTTATTTATTACTGTCTCAAAAGGTGTAATAAATATCCTTGTTTTTTTTTTTTAAGATTTTATTTACTTAACAGAGACAGACACAGTGAGAGAGGGAACACAAGCAGGGTGAGTGGGAGAGGGAGAAGCAGGCTTCCTGTGGAGCAAGGAGCCCGATGCAGGGCTCGATCCCAGGACCCTGGGATCACGACATGAGCCGAAGGCAGACGCTTAACGACTGAGCCACCCAAGTGCCCCTATCCTTGTGTGTTCTTTGTGTATATGTTGGGCAAGTTTCTCTGTAGTAAAAAAAATTGCCCTGAGTCATGGTGTAACCACATCTTCAGTTTTACTATGTATTGCCAAATTTGTTTCCAAATGTTTGTACCAATTTAAACTCCTATCAGCAACTCATATCCTCTCCTATACTTGGTGCTGTCAGACTTTATACTTTGTTTCCAACTGGAAGGATATGAATGATCTTTTTATTACTTAAATTTGCATTTCCTTTTTTTTATGAACTATTGAAGTATAATTGACATACAATGTTATATTAGTTTCAGGTCTACAACATAGTGATTTGACAATTCTATACATTACAAGATGCTCACTGTAAGTATAGTTACCATCTGTCACCATACAATGTTATTACAATATTGATGATATTCTCTATGTTGTACTTTTCATCCCTGTGACTTATTTACTTTATAACTGGACATTTGTACCTCTTAATCTCCTTTACCTATTCTACCCATCCCCCTAAGCCCCTGCTCTCTGGCAACCACCAATTTGTTTTCTGTATTTATGATCTGTCTTTGTTTTTTTTATTGCTTGTTTCTTAGATTTCATATAGAAGTGAAATCTTATGGTATTCATCTTTCTTTGTCTGACATATTTAACTTAGCATGATACCTCTATCCCCATCCAAGTTGCTGCGAATGTCAAAATCTCATTTTTTTTAAAGATTTTATTTATTTTTTAACAGAGAGAGAGAGACAGCGAGAGGGGGACACAAGCAGGGGGAGTGGGAGAGGGAGAAGCAGGCTTCCCACTGAGCAGGGAGCCGGATGTGGGACTCGATCCCAGGACCCTGGGATCATGACCTGAGCCGAAGCAGATGCTTAACGACTGAGCCACCCAGGCGCCCCAATCTCATTCTTTTTTATGGCTAACATTCCATCTTCTTTATCCATCCATCAGTCATTGGGCACTTGGGCTGCTTCCATATCTTGGCTACAGTAAATAATGCTACAAAAAACATAGGGGTGCATGTATCTTTTCGAATTAGTGTTTTCATTTTCCTTGGGTAAATACCTACTATTGGAATTACTGGATTGTATGGTATTTCTATTTTTATTCGTTTGAAGAAACTCCATACTGTTTTTCACGGTGGCTTCTTTTCATGTTTTTGCTATTGGGTTTTTCTTTCTCTGTGATATACCTGTTTATATCTTTGCTCATTTTTGTTTGGGTTGTCATTCTTCGTAAGAGTTCTTTATTATGGATCTTAATCTTTTTTTCTATGCCTTGCAAACACTTTCTCTCTCCTTTATATTGATTACTTTGTTTTTAAGGCTCTAGATAAATAGAAATTTTAAGTTTAATGCAGCTAAAAGTATTAATCATATCATTTCATTTGGTTTATGTCTTAACTACCAGACAATTGGCATAGTACTTAGAGAATTTACCTGGATGAGACCTATTTGTCTGTGTTATACATTCCCTGGTTCTATATCCCTAAAATGTCTCTGGAAGCAGAAGAAACTAAGAAAATCCTTAGAGTGTGAAGATAGTGGGTAATCTTAAGACTGGCTGCACTTTGGGCAAATGTCTTCCCTGAGCTAAATGGAAGAGGTTCTCACCAACTCACAGGTCTAGTACACATGGTAACTGAATGAATAAGAGTGCAGTTACCACACAAAGGAAACTTTATTTGAGCAAGTAAGTATAACTTCCAAAGCCCTTACTCCCCAAGCAAGGGTGAATGGGTTCCTTTTATTTAGGGTTAAGATGAATATTTAGAAAGGAGAGCCTTGTCATTGTATGTAGAGGCAGGCATAAAGTAAAGTTTGCACCTTAAGGACACATGCCTATAAACACACTGTATCGTCATGTAAATGAGGCTTGTGCTCTTCCTGGGGTGGGGATTTTAGTATTACAATGAGGTAAGGGTAGTGTCAGTCACTTCATGGGTCACTCCATGGGTCACTCCATGGTCCATCTGCGCAGGTGTGAGTCAGGAGTTAAGCTCAAACTGGTCTGAGTGGTCTGGGCTGCTGGAGCTCTTCATCTGGGCAGTTGTTATTGCTCAAGGTGTAGTTTCGGTTTCCTTCACAGGAGGCTGGTCAGGTCTTTTGCCAGAGTAAGAGATAAGGTGGAGAAAAAAGAGCTTAAGGAAAAATGTGGGACAAAGGTCAGTGGGTACAAGCAGGTGAGCAGTAAAGGTCAGGTTTTGGGGTCTGGTTGGTGACAGTATCAGTTTTTGTTTTGTTTTGGGGAGGGCAGGAGTTGAACCAGATAGATGGGCTTTTGTTGCTTAACAATTATTATCATTCACATTATTCCTTTTTTTTTTTTTAAGATTTTATTTGTTTATTTGAGAGAGTGAGTGAGAGAGAGAGAGAGCACACATGAGCAGGGGCAGAAGGAGAGGAAGAAGCAGGCTCCCTTGCTGAGCAGGGAGACGTGGGGCTCAGTCTCAGAACACTGGGATCATGAGCTGAGCCGAAGGCAGACGCTTAACCGACTGAGCCACCCAGGCGCCCTGGAATATGCTACTCTTTAAAAAAGAAAAACTTGGGTGCCTGGGTGGCTCAGTTGGTTAAGCGACTGCCTTCGGCTCAGGTCATGATCCTGGAGTCCCAGGATCGAGTCCCACATCAGGCTCCCTGCTCAGCGGGGGGGGGGGGTGGGGGGGGGGGGGGGGTGTCTGCTTCTCCCTCTGACCCTCTTCCCTCTCATGCTCTCTGTCTCTCATTCTCTCTCTCTCAAATAAATAAATAAAATCTTTAAAAAAAATAAAAATAAAAAACAAAAACTTAAACATTACTGCATAGGAGTTGCCAAGATATCTCTCATAACATCCTGCTATGTAGGAAAGATGTTAGGGTTTGAAGCCAATGGCCAAGAAAGAAGGTGGTTTTATGAAAGCATGGGGCCAGGACTTGTGGGCTGAAAGAGCTGCATTGGGGTCATGAGGAGTGGCCTATTATATACTTTCAAGTTGGGAGGGGGATAGCGAAAGTCTCTAAGGAATTATGGAAGCAAGGTTTCCATGACCTTGAGGGGGCTAGCTATTGTTGGGGAAAGGTCATTTATTACTGTCTTGTAAAACCTTAGTCATGAGACCTTTCAGATGTATATCAGTGTGTCATATGCTTGGCGGATGATTGCCAACCTGTATCTTGGGGGGTAGAGATAAAGGAAGTTTGCAAAGGAATTTTTATATGTTAAAGTAACTTACAGGATCCTGGGGGTCGGGCTAAGATTGCCTTCTGCCCTATTGACATCGAGCGAGGCAGCCAAGTTCCTAGAGGAATGTCACTCTGCCTGTTTCAGGGACTTGTCAGTGGGCTATAGGTAGTAAGAAAATTTAATTTTTCTTTTGCCTTTGTTTCCCCCATCACTCTTAGTTCTGTGGATGACAGCTGGGATTTGTAACACCTGATGCCTACTGCTATGTCATTTGTTAAGAAATTTCTTTCCTGGAAGAATTAGACGAGGCACTACTTTGCATATCCATAATGAAACAGCTCATACCCTACTCTGTCTTGCTGAATGCTTGAATAGTAGGATGTATGTACAAAGATGACACGCTACCTATCTTTCTTCCACCAGGGAGAACAAGGTAGCACAGCGTCCTTTTGAATGACTGTGGGAAGTAGAAAAATTACTTTCTCCCTAAGACGAGTGGGGTGAATCAAGCCAAGGTTTAAAATCCTTGATGAATTTTCCTCATTATGCAAACTGTTTTAAAGCAAAATTAAAGAACAATCTATTAATCATTACTAATACTTAAAAATTATACCCTTACTTCCCGGATTCTCCATAGACATTTAACTTCCGGAGAGGTGGGGCAGAGAGAATCGCTGCCTTTTCATGCTCTCTTGCATGTTTCTAAGTGATGCTTTCCTCATTTTCTAAGATACTCTCTCTAGCCTGTACTAAGGACTGTCTTTGTTCTTAAACTATTGAGTTTATTTTTAATATAAAATCATGACTTTTTTAAAAAAAGATTTTATTCATTTACTTGACAGAGACACAGCGAGAGAGGGAACACAAGCAGGGGGAGTGGGAGAGGGAGAAGCAGGCTTCCTGCTGAGCAGGGAGCCCGATGAGGGGCTCGATCCCAGGACCCTGGGATCATAACCTGAGCCGAAGG